CTTTTCGACTTTACACAAGCTTCCTAAAGTATTATTAAATATGGGGATTTTATGGAGATTGTTCAATTTCTGTTATGAAATGACATCATGAATAGATATTTTATCCTATCTCTATTGTTTTCCAGCCGTTCTCTAATTTTTAGCAGTTCCTTATAAATACCAACATCCAATTTCATTTACAGCAGTAGTTACCATTATAGGGCAGAATTTAATCATTTGTAGCCTGTCATTTACCACGAAGTGATTTAATTACAGTTCCAATTGACATTTTTTTTAAATATAAGCATATCACTAAGGATATACTCAGTAATTTTGTTCAGTTATATTAATTATATTAGTTATATTGTGATTGTAAACTACATTTTACAACAATTATATTGTTTCTCATTGTTGTCAGTGTTGTTAATATTGATGCTTAAAAAGTATAAAAGTAGCAGACTTCGGTAATTTTTTCATAAATTTTTAATTAGTCTATTACAATTGTGCAGTTTATTGCTAATTATGAATTCGGTATAATAGAATGAAACTGATTACTTGTCGAACCAAAAAAATTAATTATTTTCCATTATTTTGGTTACAGTGAAGTGATGTTTGATTCTTTTTAATATCATGTTTGAAAACAGCAAAAAATTAAATTATAACAAACATTTAGTAACTTAACGGTTTAACTCTATGAATCAAAAAGAAGGTTAGGGAATAATTATAATAAAATAATAATAAATGATTGCTTCTTATCTAATCTGTTATTAGATTATTGGTTTGTTCATATGTATTTGACATCTTAAATGAGAAAATACAAACAATATATGTACGTCTAGATAATAACTCCGTTGAAAACAGATATCTTGTTACATAGAGTAATAGTAATAACCATTCGACAGATCAATTGCCTTATATTTTTTCACGAATTTCTCCTGAAATACATTTTTAAAATTCTTTCGTCCTAGTTTGAAACTTCTCAACATTGTACACTTCTAAACAAAGCCATGACCTTTAGCTTTTGAGATAATCATGCTACCCAAAAATCATATATTTAGTAGTCTATGGTCTACATTTCAAACTTCTGTCAGTTCGTTGTATGAATCGATTCCCATCAAATGCAATCTGTGAATACTAGTCTCAGTCACAATATGATTAGCTACCTAAGGTTCAGACTGGTGAGCTATTGTAAACAAGACCTGTACAGTGATCTCTGGTCTCCCATAGTCTTTCAACTGCAAAATAGTTTCTGCTACCTTCTAACTATATAAAGCCTCCATAAAGCCACCTGACCTAACAGTGAATAAATAAATTATAAAAACACTACTAAAGTCCCATATTTGTGCAGTATTTTTAACTAAAGTAAGCAAGGTGTTCATCTATTTACTTTGAACGTAATCTTTTAGATGGATTCAATAAAGAGAAATGAGCAAAGGCACCTATCATCTAGTATATTTAGTACTTACATAAATGTTATATGAATCAAACATCACATGTCACATGACGAATCTAGTGTCCAGTAAATAATATTTTTATGGTTGTCCATTTAAAATCCTCAACTCATAAGTGATATTTAAAGAGCAATCTATTTCAGAGAGAGTATTACCTATTAGCATACCAATGAAACACATCTATTACAATAATCTTTAAAATGTATACACATATAAACTCTTCTGATTGACCTTTTCCATACTTTACGTAGTTTACAATCCGTTTAATGATGTATTCCTATATTTATAAAATTATTTCAGCTCGAATAGTTTACATTTTATTCTTACCATGACTTATGAAAACACAACTACTAAATTGTAAGGAATTTAACATCTGATATTGTTCAAATAAACAAAAATCATAGCTATGGAAATAGATTTTATTCCTCTCTAGTAAATGTGAGAAATTTACCTTTTGCTGGCAAATATGACATAAGTGTACTCATATATAAATTGTGAGAAATGTTTATAATCATGATCCATATTCAGACTATGTGTAATTTCCGGTTACAAATGTTGTCATGAATATAATCTGAAAACTTCATCTCAATTAATGATGAAACTAAGTTGTTTCTAACAACTTATAATTCAGTAACTCTTTCTTTTTAATTGAATGTGATAAGTTTAAAATTATTTTTCTTTGTATTAACATGATAAGGAATTCTAAAATTTTATATATACAGTGTATACTGTCTTAAATTACTTATAGTCGTTTGCATTGATTTATTGATCAAAAGATGATTATATTATGATTACATTCGACATCATTATGTGGTATGGGAAATAATCAGCTAAAAAAATGACTAATTCTTTCAGTGAGTAAAACTAAGGGAACATCTTATAATGTATCCAAATGTTGGATCAAGTAAAAACCATCAGTAAGAGTTCTACTGTGCACCGTTTAATTATGAAGATGCCCTCTTGTTGGAGATGTTAGATCCCTAGAACTAGGCTGGTAAATGCTTTATTTTTATAATTCTATTTTAAAAATCCGAATTTCTTGTTTTCGCGCCAAAAGCACTCCTCTTCACCTTCATGTTGTATTTCCCACTTGAAAGGAACTTAAATGTTATTGGTTCGTTGTTTCTTTTAGTATGCTATTTTGTAACGTTTTCCAAGGATATTTTTATGCTGTATATATTCGCTTGAGTTATGTTTATTGTTGTTGTTCGTGCCTCTGGCTACTTGTGGAATATATTTGCCTCTTCTGAACTTGAACTTCTCTCTCCAGTTAGCGGGGCTGGGACGCGTCGGAATAGTTAGCTGATTTGGTCATTGTGTCAATGAGTCTTCGTTCCGTTCGCAGATTACGTAAACATAGCACCTTTAAGAGTATATAATTTACAAAATCCTCAGCAATATTTCTCTTAGTCATTAGTGCATTTGATGTTAAGATTTTATTCTTTTCATAAGAATGAATAAAAAATGAAGTAACATGCAAGTTTCCTTTTTATACCCATTGAGTTATAATTTTTCTCTGTGAAAATAGTGTCCTCAGACTTAAAAAGAATTCGTTTCTTATTACAACTGTACCGCTTATTCATCGAACCATAGTTTTAAATTACGCGACCGGTATTTGCCTACCAAACTCTCTATTTCCGCCCTTTACTGTAGTAAACATTATGTTACTGTGATTCACTACCATCTAAGAAGCACCAATTACTGAAGAAGTTCAGCTATCTAAAAAATGAGAAAGTCACCACCAATGATATTTAATAATTATCACGCTAACTTTTTCAATGATCGAATTTGAAAATGTTATCTACAAAATCAGGACTGAGTTGTTTATAAGTATGTTGCTCCATAACAATTTCGAAGTCCCTTGGTTTATTCCAGAATAAGAATATATGTGTATGCTCCTAAATTACGAACTAGGCGAAACATGTTTATAGTGCGCTCTGGTTTTGAATAACTCACAAGATGATGTCACTTCATGATAAATATATTGAAAATGAAGTCCCATTTGATAAAGTGGTGGATTAGTTTACTTTATAAAATGTGATAATGTAAACTTAGTATATTGAAGTTTGTCATGTATATAAAACAAAATAAAAACCGGATAAGTAACAAACCCAAGTTCCTTAGTACAATAAATTCATAGAATTAATTGATAATTGTTGAGTAATAACTAGGTCTATAACTTCAGGTTTTGAAAAAGTTGCGCTACGTTCTAATCGCAAACCTTTAAAATGAACTATTTTATGGCAAATTCACCTTTTAATCTAATAGCGTGTTACGCAGTTTGAGTCCATAATGTAAGTTCCAGTATCTTGGTAGGGGTTGCAGGCAAGTATAGAAACAGAATATGAAATTGGATGCTTTGTACCAGCTCCATCAAACTATCCAGTAATTAATCCTACTTTTCAAATCTAGTCAATACAATTTAGTCTGTACTAAAAAAAGTAAAGTGGTTTACATTACATCTCAATAATTCATCAAGAGCAAAAACAAATAGTAGCAATCCAATAATAATACTTCCAGAGAATAATATTTTTAACAAAGTATACCCATCAATCATTTCGTTTTCACAACTTGATGATTTGAATGATAGTTTTTTAACAAGCAGTTTCCATAATTAATTAGAACGTCATCTAGAACTGATAAATAAAAATAATAAATAAAAATTAGGATTAAGGCTAAAAATGGTAGCAATATAATCTTTATTTCACACGAAGCCAAAGAAAATCAAATATTGTGTTTATTTTTAATCTACTATTTATTAGTTATTTATAGCCCCCTATCTCCGGGACCAAGATTCCTAGCTCATTAACCGCTCTGCTATAGAATCGTTAGTATTCTCCAAATATACAGTGTTCTTAGCGTATTAAAAATGACCTAAAACTGCCCTTTTTCACTTCCAACTTGGTTCATCTCATAAATCATTACCTTGCACTACAACTTCAGTGGTAAGTTGTAAAAAACTGTTATTAATGATTGATAAACTGCAAATAATGGATTGTTTTGTCAAGAAATAATCTGAATTAAATGTTCCTCAAAACTAATTTTGTAGACGACACTCACTGCCAATACCCTATTTATAGTGACGTAAAGTGTATGAACTTACCACACAACGAAAAAGTATTTCACTTAAATTTTAAACAAGAACAACCTCTCCCTCTTAATTTTCTACGCTATTTGATAAGCATTTACAACAATTATGTTATATGTGGAGATTGTTACCAACTTATATACCACTAAGTAGAACAGAATGTTACAATCATTTTTGATTAAATTTATATACAGTACATAAGTATATGGTAGGAAAACCCTTACATTCTAAAAAAAACTTGGTGCAGGATCACATGCTGGTATTTTAATCACACTTGTAACGTTACGTAACAGATCCAAATGAATTAGGACTATTATCCGTTACACAAAAATACTTAAATTACTTATCTTAAACTCTTCTAATAAGAATTTCCTAGACTAAATGTACAGAACAGTCTTAGGCATAAAACTCCATTGGTTTACTTCGTTTAGAACTTTGTGAAACTAATATTTATCTTATCTATTTTTCTTCTCATAATTTAGAGTACTTCAAAACAAAAAAATACATTCCTATGGAAAATTTCCACTAAGCCAACTTCATTCCTTTTTGGTACATTACATGTAGCTTATACACATGTTTGGTCACAAATTGATCCTGTTGTAAAAGCAAGTTTTGCTCAATCAGATATTGTCTATTTTGAACTAGATCTAACTAATCCTGTTACATTAGCTGAATTGAGTGATTGCCAAGTGTTACCGAAAAATCAAACAATCACAAATCTACTTAAACCAGATTTAATTAAACGTTTAGATCGATATATAAATAACCTTCGTCATACGATTAGTGCATGGATCGAGCCTGAAAAGCAAGTTTTCGCATCATATCTATATGAGACATTGACAAAAGATTGGAAAGAAAAAAGACCTATATGGCTTTTATTGTTATTAAATAGTTTAACAAGGAGTGAAATATTCGATCGAGGTGTACCCGTACTGGATTTATTTCTAGCACAAGAAGCCCAACGACTAGGTAAACAACATGGTGCAGTGGAACAAGTAAATGACCAATGTGAACCATTAAACCGAATAAATGTTCATCAGGTAATTATATATTTCTATAAGTTTGTTTCTCAATGTTCTATTTAATGTCAAGACAGATCGCTTTACAGAGTTAGTATAGTAATACATCAGCTAAACTCTATTATTAATATCACTTACCAAGGTTAGATAATTAGAATGTTTTATGTGTGTGAAAAAATTCAAATAAAACTGAAGACTTACAACATAAATTTCCAACTTCACCAACACTAACTTGTAAAATATCAATGTTCTTAACATCCCTCATACCTTTTTTTGATGGAATACAATATTTTAATAAGAAACTACATGGAAATAAATCCTTCTCTTTGAAGAAGATATGAGTTACCGAACCACAATAGCCTTTTAAGAAATGTATAGAAATGTTAATTGCAAACCACGAACCTGGTGGATACTACTCATTCTAATATATAATATAATGTATATAGGATTCCGTACCGTTTTATCAACAGTACTATTACGCCGATCGTCCATTTTCAACAAAACTAAATTTATCTAATTAGTCTATAGACGTTCAACAGAAATCTCTATGAGAATACCCCGTCGAGAAAAAAATCATTTAGATAAGAACATGAAATAATTTCACTTTTGCTGTAACTGACAAAATATCATACTATAATATGAAGAGTTTACAAGATATGAAACTGTGTAATCCATGTTTTGAAAAAACGGTGAAAACTTGTAACAGTTAACACTTTCTCGTTTTTAACATTGAGGACTGAGTTTGGTCAACCTGTTACAGATACACTTAGCCGGTTAGTCCCAAACACGATAAAATGTGAGTTCTGGATTTTACTGCTATTCTCTATTCAAAGTATGCTCAAAATACTTACAAAATTTATTAATAAAACAAATTTAATTACGAAAAAGCGTGTAAACAATAATTATGACAGCAACTTCGCTAGACAATTGTAAAGTATGAGAATACGGACATTGCTTATCTACCAGCTATTTTATCATGTGGATGTTGGTTGAAAGTAGATAAAATAAATTCGTGTCGTCGACAATTTTCCTGGTTCCTTTTTAAGCGAGTTCTCATTAATGCACGTTAATTTTTAGATATCTATCAGTCTTTAATTAGCGATACCTGAAATGATGTGAAATAGAATATTAGTTCGACAACATAATGAAATCAACGGTTTATTTAAAACACAACAACTAATGTGATGATAACGCTGACTAGAAACTGTGAGTATCCTCCAGAATATGGAGGATATACTTATGATCCAAAAAGTAATAAATATGACTATATGTAGTTATATAGGCTTGTATAGCATTAAACTAACACCTCCAGTTAAATATTGGGCTTGTAGTGAACGAGGACATTTGTGGGGATAATCAAATATATCTCAATTTAACATTGCAGAATATCTTGGTAAGATCTGAGAACCACATAGTGAATACTCCATTTGCAAAATGTCAATAAATCGTCTCAAACTTCATTGGTTTCATTCGTTTCCACACCAGTCATTCTCTGTTCTCATTCAATTTTCTTCGATCTTCTTAACCTCCTGTCAACAAGCATTTCACTTTCGATTGATGATAACTAACTTACGCCTGTTACCCCTCGTGGAGGAGCATAGACCACCCACTAGCATTCTCTATACAACCCTTTCCTGAGCAATCCTATCTTGTGGTCGCTATACATTCTTATGATGTCCGCTTTCAATTCTCCACACAGTATGTTCTTCAGAATTCCTCTTTCCTATTCACCTTCAGGATTCAAAGTTTGCGCTTGCTTCGTGATGCAGTTCGATGATTTACACAATGTATATCCCATCCACCTCCAACGTCTATTCCTAATTTCCTCTTCAGATGAAAGATGGTTTATTTTCTCCAATAGTAGGTTATTGCTGATGACATCCGGTCAACGAACATTGAGTCTCTTGAGTAGAAAATTGTTTATAAATACGTATAATTCTTTGATGATGATTGTGGTAGTTCTCCAAGTCTCAGTTCTATACATCAGAACTGTCTTGATGTTCGTATTGAAGGTTATGACTCTGATATTGGTTAACAGTCGTTTTGAGTACCATATGTGCTTCAATTGTAAGAAAGCAATCATTGCTTTGCCAATCCTCGTTTTTACGTCTGATCAAATCCTCCTTGTTCATCGATGATACTGCCCAGATGAGTGCGTGAAAGTTTCCACCTCTTCCAGAGTTTCGCCATCAAGTGTGATAGTGTTGGTGTTCTTCGTGTTGTATTTGAGAATCTTGCTTTTTCCTTTGTGTATGTTGAGGCCTATTGATGCCGAGACTGTTGCTACATTGGTTGTCTTCGTCTGTATTTGTTTGTGTGTATGAGATAAAAAGGCTAGGTCATCTGTGAAGTCCAAATCGTGTAATTGATTTTAAGATGTTCATTGTATTCCATGCTTCCCCTCACATGTCGAGGTCTTTATAATCCAAATGATCACCAGAACAAAGAGGAAGATGGAGAGTAGACAGCTTTATCTGACTCAAGGTCCCTGCCGGAAATGCATCTGTCAGCTGTCATCCATGCACAACTTTGCAGTGTAGTCCGTCGTATGAGTTCTGGATAATGTTGATTTTCTTAGGAACTCCATAGTGTTGAAGAAGTTTCCATAATATTCTCCGGTCCACACTCTCCAGCACCTTCTCATAGTTAATGAAGTTGATGCATAGTGGCGAGTTCCACTCAACTGATTGTTCAACGATGATCCGTTGTGTCGCAATCTGGTCTGTGCACGACCTATCCTTACGGAATCCAGCCTGTTGATCCCGAAGTTCGGTGTCTACTGCGTTTTTCATCCGGTTCAGCAACACTTTGTTGAAAACTTTTCCTGGTACTGATAACAAACTGATGCCTCTGTAGTTCTCACATTTACTCAGATCTCCTTTCTTTGGTATCTCGATGAGATATCCTTCTTTCCATTCCATTGGCACTTGTTCCTCTTCCCAAATCTTCTTGAATAGAAGGTGAAGCATATTTGCAGTTATTTCAATGTCTGACTTCAGTGCTTCTGCTCGTATATTGTCAGGTCCTACCGCCTTCCCACTTTTGATTTGTCTGATGACAATCTTGACTTCTTCGATCGTTGGTGGAGTGACATCTATTGGAAAGTCTGTGTGGGCTGTTTCGATGTTCGTTGGATTCAATGGGGCTGGTCTATTCAGCAGTTCCTCGAAGTATTCTGCCCATCTTTTCCTCTGTTCTTGAATCTCAGTGATTGTCTTTCCTTCTTTGTCCTTGAATGGTCTCTCTTGCTTACTATATCTCCCTGCCAATTTCTTCGTTGTATCATATAGTTGTCTCACATTTCCTTCTCTTTCAGCTTTTTCACCCGTCGTTGCTAGTTCTCCCATGTATTTATACTTGTCGGCTTTAATGCTTATCTTCACTTCCTTGTTTGCTTCTGCGTACTCTGCTTGCGCATGGTTTTTCTCTGCTCGTGTTCGGCTGTTGTTAATTGCTGTCTTCTTGTTCTTCCTTTCTTGAATCCAGTTCAGGGTTCCATAGATATACATTCCATACGATGATGCCTCTTTAGGCCCAGAACATCCTGACACGTCGAAGTTAGTGCTTCTTTTATCCATTTCCAGTTGTCCTCCAAAGTAGTTTCTTGTGCTTTCAGTAGATCCTGTAAAGCTTAACACGTGTTGTTGAGAGTTATCTTGAAATCGTGAGTATCTCGAAGGAAGGCTGTATTGAACCTTCGTAGTGCTGTTTGTCCAGTTGTCCAGTGTTTCTTTAGCTTCAATCTCATCTTGACCACAACCAGGTGGTGATCTGAAGCTATGTCAGCTCCTCTCCGGGTTCTCACATCTTCCATTGATCTTCGGAATTTTTTGTTGATACAGATGTGATCTATCTGGTTCTCTGTGGTGTGGTCCGGTGAGATCCATGTAGCTTTGTGTATGCGTTTGTGTGGAAATATTGTTCCGCCTATAACCAATTTGTTGAAGGCACATAGATTTACAAGTCTCTCCCCATTTTCATTTCTCTCTCCTAGTCCATGTCGTCCAATTATATCTTCATATCCTGTGTTGTCCACTCCAACTTTAGCATTTAGATCTCCCATCAGGATGGTGAGGTCCTTTCGTGAGCACTTCTCTATGATTAATTGCAGCCTCCAGTAAGACTGATCATTAATGTCGTCGTTGCTATCATTGGTAGGTGCGTAACATTGGATAACATTCATTGTGATTCCCTCCTTTATTTTGAAGGATGATTTGATGATTCTGGATGCCTGAGATTTCCATCCTACAAGTGCATTTCGTGCTTCCCTGAATAGCATTAGAGCAACTCCCTGAGTGTTTGGGGCATTTTCCTCTTTGTGACCAGAATACAGCAACATCTCTACCGTATCTAGTGTTTGTTATCCAGTTTGTGTCCAATGGGTTTCGCTGATTACAAGTACTGCCAATTTGTATCTCTTCATTTCTGTCGCTATTTGACTGGTCTTCCCGGTCTCCCACATTGTCCGGACGTTCCATGTACCTATAAAGAATATTACTCTGGTTGTAAGAAGGGGCATCGGCCTCGGTTTCCATCGTGAGGCATCATAATTCTTCCTTCAACGCGGAGGGAAGAATTCCTATGGTTTCATTTGTTTAATCTGGTTGGCGTCTTTTAACAAGGATGTTTTCTATGGGATGGGGTTGCCGACCTCATGCCTAACCCTCCTCCTTTACCCGAGTTTTGAACCGGCAGTAACTCTAGAAGAGCTACAGGTGGAGTTCCGATGATACATACTACTCATATCTGTCGACATCAGTAGCACACCACAACCTCTTTTCCAAAGAGATGCTTATATTTAAGTCAACGACATGGTATTATAGGCTTCGGCAGAGGTTACAATTAATCAACTGTGGTAGATTACGTGTAATGTACCTGATTAGAATAGCATCAAGAGTATTTCTTTCTACAAAACTGCAAACACACCTGGCTTAAGCGTGCCAACTACCATGAAACCTAAGTACGCGGCTTCTTATGCATTCCCCCGAACCATTTTACACTCAGATATAGTACACATCATATCCAGTCACTTGGACAGGTGACCTTATTCCAATCTAATCAACGTTTAGATATGAGCAAATACAATGATGGTTATAACTTACTAGTCAAGCTTTAATTTATAACATAGAGTAAATCATACAATATTAATATTTTTTACTTCTCACAAAGTTTTCTCCTCCATAAGTTTCACTTTATCAACTTTTATTTCAGGTAACATTTGCACTTGAAATAACATTGAATAATTTAGAGAATGCTAATCACCCTATGAAACATCTGACTAACCATTTTAATAATGTTAATCATATTGGTCATGTGAGTCATAATAGCAGCAACAATAAAAAATATACATCAAACACAAAAGTTTTATTCAATACATGGAATAGACAAATAAATGATACATTAATTACAAATCAAAAACGTAGACCAATTCAACAGACAGATGTATTCAATAGTCCAACAGAACAGTTAATTGAACATTATAATTGCGGTGATTTGAATGAAACATTAACTAGGATGTCTTTAACACAAACTACACCATCAGATTCTGCGTTATTGTCGACTTCGTCGTTAGATCACATTACAACAAAGAATGAAACAAATACAATGCCCCTTATTACTATGATTCGTAAAAACGCTACGGCACAACAACTGAAATTTTCCAACAAGGTGAATAACATTTCTAAACGACATAACTATCGTACCCAATCATTACCATCATCACAATCAACGCCAAGTTACTTCATTGACAAAGAAATAAAGAACTTGTTAAGTCCGAGTGAAGTTCAAACGCTTATTGATTTGGAAAAGTATTTAAATGAAGAACTGATAGTTAGACGTAATGAGCGAATGGCTTATGAGATTATCAGTAAATTAAAACTTGCTGAATCATTAAATCAATCAGCATTTTTTGCATTAGGCGCAGGTAATGTAACCTTGTTTTGTTTTAGATCCCACTGTCTCGGTGTAAAGGTGTTTCAAAACACGGTTTGACACTATTTAGGGAACGAACAGAAAAAGAGGCCATTGGATTGCTTCTTCATCGTGCACCGAAACAATTTAGCTCTATTAACGTCTCAATAAATCTATATCCATATTCTATCTAATCAAGTATTAGTTGTGTTCACATAGTCACTGATTTCAAGATAGTTTACTGAAGCTCTGATGAGAAGTTATCACCAGTGGAGTTCAATCGTGTGGGGAGTGAGATAATGATTACTGATGACAGTGGCGCTATGCCAAAACCAGCAGAAATTGAGAATGTAATTATTGGAATACACTTCAGTAGCTTTAAAGTAGGGTGCTCTCCCCAAAAGATCATGAGTTCACCTTCTGGTGGGATTAATTTCCATACTATTGGTGATTCCTAAACCAAGATGAAACATCCACCTGGTTATTTGTAATTTCCTTAGCTGCCATCAATCAGTCACGTTAAACTAAATATTATCCTTTTATTCATCCACTTTTTCCCGGACTAAAATACGGTCTTGTTTCTGCGTATAAATTTAAAATTGACACTAACTAATAAAAAAAGATGAAGAGACAGTTTAAATAAGAGAATTATCTTTCCTTGAATTTTTTAAATGTTTAACGTAAACCATTGATAACCTCCACTGGCATTGAAGTCATGATTTCCCGATGCCACGATCCACGTAAATCATGCTTACATAATTTTGAGGCTTCTACTTAAATAGGAGAACTTTTAACGAAATCAATTTTACAAGCAATTAAAATCACGGTTAATTAACACTAGTAAGAAATGAACTATCACTAAAATCTTTCTTTTGTTTTTATTTGGATCATTTAATTTCCTCGAAGTAATTAAATTATTTGAGTAAAAACTTTGAAGTTTTTCCACACTATTTGATTTGAGATAAGGGCATGATACTAACCTAGAATTAAGATGCAAAATCATATTAAGACTGTCACAGTGAGGTCGACTATCACATACTGATCGAAAAAGGTTCATATTTCACATATTTCCTTTATTAGAAATTAGAATATCTCTTAATTTTTCCAGTGAGCGAAAACTCTGCCTCAGGGACATAAGAAACTGACCTCGAAACTCAATAGATTCCTTGATAACAAAACAGAGCCGCTAGTAAAAATCCTTTAAATATCAGTGCCAATGACTACTCGAAATTGATTTAAACTCTTTCATTACCTTAACTCGTTTTATATTCAGTAGGTTTCCAGTAATTTCAAATAACTTGATCTACTTCATTTCTTACACTTTTATATATTCTGCAACGGAAATTCACCAGATCTCACTGTTTCCCACACATTTGAAAATTTTTCTCATCACTAACTCCCTTTTCCAACATCTTATCTGATTCATATTAGTTTATCCATCAAATGACCGTTTTTCAAACATCTGGCTATTAATTATCTTTTATTCTCAAACTAAGTTGCCTAGACTTATTCTGATCGTTTTTTTTACCGAATATAATTTTACTTATAACTTGTTTCAAGTTATAGATGAATTCAGTATAATCCAGTCCCTATGTATTGAATGGATACTTTGAGGTAAAAAATCAAATTGTTGTTAAATGCACAATCACACAGTGGCTTAGCAAAATGTGAAAATTATGCATTTCATTTACGCTGAAGAAGTGGCATACACTAAGTCACGAAACGTGAGAAATACAACTTTTGCACGAATTGGGACATTTTTGATTGGTGTTACGTACTACATATGTCTGTCAACATTAGTAGCACACATCACATCTACAACTACCAATTTATTTGTTCTTATTTTTGAAATCACAAGTTGTAAATAAAAATTTTACACACCATAAACTTATCTGATCCTGTAGTAGAGAACTTACGAGGAAATATTTCCAGTAGAAAGTATTGAATTTATGCCGTCAAAATGAAAGATCTCTGTATTAAGAGAATTAATTGTTATTGTTATCAACATCCATCACTGTGAATATAAGTAAAAATCAACATTACTAATGAATTTATGAATTATCAAGAACGGAAAGTTAAAATAATGAAAATGATTGTTTCCAATATTTATCCATTTTGTTTTTATATTTACAGCACATTTTATAGGAAGTGGAGAGACAATTATTGATCATCTACGTAAGGCTGGCTACATCATCATTCCAGTTCCACAACAGAATACAATAAGAAGTGAAGAGAGAATAGGTGAAATTTCAGAAGAACCATTAAAATTAGAAAAATTCAACAAGATTTCGAAGTAGGTGTATAAGAGAACTTTGATAAATTATTTTATACGTTCATAAATAAACATTTATTAGTAGAAAAAGAAGTTAATTTAAGCTTTGCAATAAAACAGAATAATACATTAGAGCTATATAGTCGTACTTTCATTAACGAAGTAATTATGTGAAATTTTCTTTATATGCAAATAAAGATTCAACGTATTTTATGAACTATTAAATTAAAGTTTTATTAGTGGTATATCGTATTTACAGTTGGTTATCGCCAATCACAACATTATACAATAACTTCCTAATTCACTTATAAAATTGAGTTGTTCTCATTTAAAATACAACAGAGAATAATGGATGAGCTAGACTATACAAGGTCATATTTCTTGAATGAATCACAGAATATGTATTGGCAACTTTCTTACCGAATGATGACATGTCACTGTGCTTAAAACTGAGTCATTCAGAGAGAAATAAGTGGATTAATTTTGAAGTAACTGTAGAGAAAGATCTATAGTACAAAAAGGCTTCCAGTCATATTGCCACCACACTATTGCAGAAAATGCTAGATTCCCAGAAATCAGTAGTCAAACTTCTCATTTTTGAAATGTATTTATGAAAATTTTATACCTCTCATTCTCGCGCCAAAAGCACCCATTTTACTTTTAGTTTGTGTTTCCTACCTGAAAGGAACTTCAACATAACTGGTTAGTTTTCCTTTTAAGTACACTAATTTGTGACACTTGTATTGTATATATAAGCACGAGTTGCGTGTTTGTTGTTCGCTTTTCCAACTTGCTTGTGGGATTATACATTTTCCCGGCTGGATCTAGTCGTCTTCCTCTAGTTAACAGGGTTGGGGTTGGTCGTGAAATTTTTATCTTGTCCTTCTGTTGTGTTGCTGACTATCATTATGTTCACCGGACCTAAGTGACATTTTAATCCCTCGAACATAGCAACTATTCAAGTATTTTTCATTCACAAATAAAAGCGTAGATTATATGACAAATACTAACAAAATTTATGACATTAAGGATTCACGGAGTTATTACGTAATCAACCCAACATTTTAAACAATGATATTCTCATCAGCTATATCTATACCAAATTATTTTGATTCGTGATTAACTTGACAAAAATAATGAATGAACTGCATTAATAGATCCCTGTTATTTGTTTAACAGATCGAATTTACTTTTTTTTAATGCTATGCATATTGACTAAATAAAGGTATACAAGTGATCCCAAGTTCATCTAATATCGATGTTTCTGCATGAAAATGATTCCGTTTTTGGTCAAATATGGAATACTTAAATGAAATGCAAAACTTAAAGTTCAGAGCAAAGTAAATAGTAAAATATCAATTATTTGGAGTTTCAATCTAATAAATGCCATCAATTAAATAACTTTACTTAGACAAAAACATTGACCGGGTAGAATAAATATAATTCAATAAAAAATCTAATTCGATACTGAAGTATTAACTGATATTTGTTATCTCAACTAGTAAATATATTTGGGTTGTATGTGTAAGTTTTGGTCTGAAATAAAGACAACAATTCATACAACAAGAACAATTAAAAAATGGAAGACTGTCTTTCAACCAAATATGTCGATGAGAAAATAAAGATATCTAACAATAAAACAACAAAAGTAATCTGACAAAAACAAACACTAAAATATTCCACAACGCTTCAGAGCAAATGTTTATCTAAATTTGATAAGTAACAATCTTCTAGGCTGGAATCGAATGGTCAGTATTTTAACTGTTTGATATTAGGTAAACTATACTTTGTTCTTTATTTATATTGTATAAAACTGATTAGGTTTACTGGACCAACTATAAACTCGGATTAAACGAATGTACTAAATAACTAACCTATTTTTTAAAAACAGTTTAATCACTTTTAAAATATACTGAAATAATGAGTAAGGAAAATGAATAGAAAGCGTACTTCTCTACAGCAGAAACTATTTTGAGCTCGCGATAAAGATGATAATCGTTTAATCTTCAGTAAACTTCGATTCTCAACTGTAAACAATAAGACCCCACGCTATGGAACTAAATCAGCAACTATTAATTTGATAAGGTTACTTTATTGATGAAAAGTTAACAAGCAAATATCGCGATTGGTGAATATATATTTTCTCTAATAATTACAGTATTTTGTTTATCAAGGAAACAAACAGAACTGAACGATGGTATATTTCCTATTAGAGAACAAGATGTCCCCGAATTCCGGCCGAAATATGTGAAATTTGATAACTCATGGATTAAAATCGAAGACTTTAAACCAAGGTACACATTTTACACGGTTAATTTATACTACTTAAAAAGCTTAATTCCAATTCAGTAAGTGAATAAATAATAAAAATGTAAATATTTATAGCTGTCAAACTAATACAGACAAAGGTCATATATGCCGGTCTTGATATTCCAAATAATTCAACGCCATCATGCGTCTACAGTACAACATTTTGAACTGATTGCAGTGTCCTCATAAATAAGAACTTAAACAATTTGAACTCACAATTATACGATGAGCTGACATAGTTTGGTATACTTTAATGCTCTAACTTCATATGAAATGATCAACACTTAGTTCAGGAGATTGGAAAGAAGCCAAAATTCAGGAGGCCGCTAGCTTATCTTTAATTATCCACCTCATCTCAGTCAATCACAGAGGGAGATTCACATGAGTCCTCCAAACCTTAATGAGGTTGAAAAAACCATCTCTAACTTGAAACAAAGAAGAGAATGACCTTATAGATTAACTCTAGAAGTCTTCAAAGACAGTAGTTCACTACTACCAGTTAAGGTGGCTAAGATACTAATTACAGTTTTAGAGCTGTGAATGATCCTATCTGACTGGTCTTGATCGTTTCATCTTGAAAAAAATATCGAAATCCTTTTGCAGTAGCAAGAGGATTCCACTTAGTAAACACTGACTAAAATACTACCTTCCACAATCATGGAGTTTCAGAACAGCAAGTACCTGGAAAGCGAGTAGGATTCATCCCAAGACACAGATGTGTTTGTTAAGTCTTTCGTCGGGTTTTCGGACATACATAATGACTGATACCCAGATATGAACGTGTTCCTAGGCTTGAATGCAACACTTGATTAAGTTGATCGAGAGGTTTCGTAGCAGCACAGTCGACTATAAAAGTGCCTAGATGTATTGGCTCTTTATTCGAACGACAACCGTAATGTTGATCTTTAAAACAAATTGGCATCAAAATGGGCAAAGTGATCAGAGATTCCCATATTTACTTAACATCACCAGATTTTTTGAGGGGTGATCTCCTACTGCGAAATACACTTGGTGACTGAAAATAAGCAGACGATAGTTCCGCTTGATAATGAGCCAGTTTTTAGAGACTTCTGAAAAGATTCAGGGATGATACAACATATTTCCGATACACTTCTATCCCCTTAACCGTAAAATCTTGATTCAAGACTGATTTACGTCAACCCTCCAGACTAATGATAAAGAAACAATAGTAGAGGTCAACAGCGTTACTTGTTCTAGAAGTCTCATCAGCCCACGTGGATTGATAGCTCAAAAAATATTAGCGTAAGTTTAGGAAGCTTGCTTATTTTTTGCCAATTTGGATGACCTCTGGTCTAACAGTCAAATGGTGAGCATACTGAGAACCAATTCATTATGAACTACATGTGGGTTGTAAACCATGATCTATGAGTCAGTCACAACGTAGAATCTGTACGTCTGTACATTGGTTCGAGGTCCCGTACCCCGTTAGCACGGAAGGATGAAGTTGTCACGAAAAATCCCAGAACAGTAGAGGTAATATAAGTATCAGTCAGTCAGCAACAATGTAGGACCAGGCACATATATGCATCGGTCCAAGTTGCCACACCTCATCAGCACAAGATAAAAACCGCATTCATAGACGCAGTTACCTCAATGGAAGTAAAAAAAATTAACACTTCATATAAGGATATGATACAGAGAGAAAGAATTAATCCGTAGAAAGAAAGGTATAAAGTAGTTTTAATTTCACGGTTTAAGAGAAGACAAATAGTGTATAAACCTACGTCATCGTGATCGATTCTGAACCATGTCACACAGAGTTTCCAACCATTGGTTACGATAGCCGCACAGACTCCAACCAAATAGTCTGTATCAACCAACATGGCTCAGACTAGTGATTTCAAAGACTGATGCAACGTTTCGGTTTGGCCGCCCCCAACTCTCTTCCAACCATCTCTAGCACTAGTCAGAGTATTAACTAAACAGGACTATGTCATCTTTGTATTCTAAGTTAATAAGCGAACCTCCTGGTAGACCAATTCCTGAAAATTTAGTCGACGAAAATGTTATTTTTAACATTAGGTCTATAACGAAATTAAACCAAAGTGGAGATAGCGGACAGCCTTGCCGGACACCACTTGGGGTTGCAAAGTCAGATGACAGTTAGCCATATGCTCTCACTAGACTGTTTGAGAAGGGTGGGTAGTTGTAGAGTAACTGAAGGTCAGCTGAACTGCTACTTTAAGTGTTTTGCTCATCGTTCTAAACGTCTGGGCTGAGAGCAGATAAGAGTCTCATCTTTTTCCGAGTTTGTCTCGCTTACAATTAACTTCTTATTTCCAGTTTCTTTTAATAGTCTGGAAAGTTTTTTGGTATTACCCACAATCACCACTTTCTCCATCTCTTTTGTTTTCGTCACCCACCACTACTCACGATCATTCTGTAGACTTCTGGTTAACCTAGATCTGATTTGCTTTCTCTCTTCATCCTGTTCAGAGCCTGATGGGATGAGTTCACGAGAATCCATCAGTGTGATAGACTTATAAGAAATCCATTGGTTTTTTGTAACTAATAGACGTTACTGTTTCCACAGTTGTTCTTATATCTTTCCAAGCAACACCTGGGTCAGCCTCGTTTTCAGAACTGCATAAATGTGAAATCAGTTGTTCCTGGAACTCACTTTTGGCTTTCTCGTCCCTCAGTTCGATTCTAATGGGTCTTATTAGTGTAGTTTTCTGCGTCTGGTGAGGCACAAGCAAATGCGTGCCCGTATAAAACCATGATCAGTCTAAACATGTATTCTAGTACGGGAGACAATCTTCTAACGAGCCTCGCCAACGATAACTGGTGGAAATATGGTCCATTTGAGTTTATCGTTGGTTTGGTGCAGGGGTCGCCATGTTGGACGATGTCTCTCCTTATGCTTAAAATTAGTGTTTGCTAAAAATAAACGATTATTTGAGCACAGTGGCAACAGATGGTCACCATTATCTGTTTGTGGGGCTGGAATACTAAAATACCCGCCTAAATGTATTTCTGTTTGGTTTAAGCTACCTACTTAGGCGTTAGAATCACCTGCTACGAGTACTACGTCTGAAAGTTCAGCTTTATGAAGTTCAGAAAGCTTTCTGTAAGTCATTTTTCACTTCATCCGGGCTGCAGTCAGTGAGAGCGTAGGCAGAAACGACGAAGAGGAAACGATGTGTGTTCTTACCCTTCCGAGTTCTTAAGCAGCTGTTAAACCGAGCAGCAGCCCTCTGACCTTGGATTTCTGGTTCCAGTCTTACCGCTTTTCAACCGACCTGCCTGGTATGGTAGGATCTTGATGAACGATTGTTCCATCTAGTATAGCCAGATTGGTTCATCACGATAGGCAAGCCCGACCACCACTTCAAAGTAGCAGCAACGGTCAGGGATGTTATCAATGGTAACACTAAAGATTAGGCATTAAAGATATGACTCTAAAAGAAAATACGAATTCGTGAAACAAAAAAAGTTACGAGGAATATGGGATATTTAATAGATGCACCTGTGCTAATGCAAACGATTTTGAGCCATGTCATTCAAACTCTCTAACCACTATTTATGATAATCACGCTGACTCCAACCAGGTGGTCTAACTACATAGTTCAGTCGAATTGTCAGTGACTTCATGAACTGATACCATGCTTTGGTTTGACCACCCCTAGCTTTCTTCGAGACTACTCCTACACCAGAAAACATTCTCCATCGAAGTAAGGGGTAGTAGAGCGTACGTAACGAATGTCTCGATAACCTCAGTTCATGGAGATTTACTGCCTAATCAATTGATTCTCCATGTTTACCTAGTTCTATATTCCTAACCCAGGAATTGCACACTCAGTGGCCTCAAATTACACACTCATTATAGAATACCAGTAACCTACAAGTATCCTTACTCTGAATGGCCATGTTTCACATCCATTAAGTAGAACAAAGCGAACTTCTGAGCAGTAAAAAGACCCTTTGATTAGGAGATGGATATCTCGCCTACGCCACAAGTTACACAAATTAGCAAAAGTCAATCCAGACTTCCTAATGCGTGCCGATATTTCGCCAGACTATCAGTATTGTTGCTATTCCCAAGATAAGTGAAGCGGTCGAAGTGTTCAACTACTTAATTCGCTATCACTGATTCGGGCAATAATGTAAATCTAATTTGAAGTAACATTTCACCTTTGTAGGGATAGAACTCCGTCCCAAGCATGCTTAGATTGATGCTTAAGGTGGTCAGAATACTTTGCATTTTGTCAGCATCTTCACCATACAAAACTATATCATCTGCCTATTCTAAGTCAACAAGTGAATTCTCAAGTAGAAGATCAATCCCTGAAAAGTCATATGATGAAAGCGTTATCTCTAAAAGCATGTCTATAACACAGTTATATAACAGTGAGGAAGACGAACACCATTTGAAATAGTCAATTCTGATGACAGTTCACCATAGGCTCTGACTCGACCAGTAGTGTTCGAGTAGAGAGACTGTACAACATTAATGTACTTCGTTGGTTCGTGTTTCAGTGGAAGACACTGCCACAGAACCTCACGATCAACAGAGTCGAACGATGCCTTAATGTCAATGAATAAAACTATGGTCAGACATCGAAAAGTGTGTCTGTGTCCCAGAATTTGCCGAAGGGTGAACAGTTGGTCTGGTTTTCTAGGGTTTGCTCCATACTAGCTATAGTTAGACATTAAAGTATTATTGAGGCTAATATTTTAGACAGTATATTTGTTAAACCGATTCCTTTGTGATTGCCACAAGAGGATTTCTGCTTCTACATATAAACTGGGACGATTAGAGGTCGAGAGCAGTAAGATGGGATTAGATCGAACTACTAAAGCTGTACCATCATCCCTGAAAATCTCAAAAGTTAATCCATTAGGCTATGCTGTTCTAACCGTATTATCCTATGTTTGGTTTTACTCATTTCTATTTTTAGTAACACTTCGATTTTTATTGATTTCATATCGCTGTGAAAAGACGTGGCGACATGTATTAATGCACATTCGTATCCGGCTAACATTTATTAAGAATGAAAATGAAGTGTGTGTGAGAACTTAGTATTTATTATTGCAACATCTACTACAGAAGAAAAACCGCAATTACTTGGACTACTCATCTACATTCAGATAGTTCAATTTACAGGCTCAAGAATTTTGAGAGGTTAGTGACAACGTTTATAAAACAGTTGGACTTAGTGTATGTGGCCTAAATGACAAAGGACAAATAAAAAACTACAACAGCCATAATAATACTCACACGGCATCACTAATCACTGCATTAGTTTACACATGCTTTTAAAAGTTAAGTCCGACGTACAAATTCATATGTATTTACCTTCTGTTTTACTGCGTATATATGACTCGAATAACAAGTATTGAACAGTGCACTTAACATTTCCAGTTTTTAGAAAAAGTTCTGTTTTTCCTTTCTATTATAGAACTTTGGTTAACTACGATCATATATCTACGTCTAATATGGTTAAACAATCGTCCAAACTATTAGCACTAGAAACAAATATGAAGTATTCGATGACTAAAACCAAACGACTTCAGCAGCTACAACATACCAATAAACACAACGCAAAGAATCAAGAAAGTTTACAATTACTAGTTAGCGCATCAAACAGACTACAACTTAAGTTAGCGATAAGAACAAACAGAAACATTATCACGAACCAATGTATATTATTTTATACAGCGTATATCTTAAAACTATTCTAAATACAATCTTTGATATAATAAACATTTTCTTTATTTTTCTTAAATTGCAATTAAATCTGAAGTGAATTTTAGAAAAAACACCCGTAATACACACAAACCAAATAGTTGAAAAATAAATAAACAAGGGGAAACAGAGAAAAATAAAATAATCACTAACACATGTTCGTTGGAATAAATCAAATTAAAATGTAGTAAAGTAAGAATATTAGCCTGATTATGAAAACAAAAACGCGTACATCCTTCCGTACAACTGAATATCGACACAGCAAATACAGATACCATGAAAATAAAACGCAAGGCAGAACGAAGAGACGCCGACACATACATGAGAAACATGAAGCAAACAAAATAAGACAGAGAAAGACAACACAAACAAACAACATAAGAAACAACGAAAAAAACAAATCTAAAAATGTAAAATTTCAACATTCCACAAATACAACTGTAATAAACAATACACTATATAATATCACTTCAACAAATCATTCACCAAGCAGCAAAAACAACAGAAAACACGACTGCGTCTCCACGATTTCAGAAACAAAAATAACTGCACAACTACACTCGACAAAATAAGCTCTTTCAAAAACTGGTATATAATTCCCATTTAAACATTAAAATTAAAACACGGAGTTCAGCGAAGGGATCTCTTTTCAACGAATTTATTATGAAGCTGTACAGTCGTATATATATATGAAAATGTTTTATTAAAGTACTAATTCCGTGAGGAAATGTGAACACTAATAACGAAACATGGTTAGCAGAGATGGATAGTGGCTAGCAGTGGAATTCAGGACGCGCGTTTCGTCCTAGTTGGGACTCGTCAACTGGATGTACCTGCATCTCAGAGTTGATGTTGACTCTGGGACTCGAACCCAGTACCCTCGCTTCAAACGCCATCGCGTTATCCACTCGGCCACTGAGTCCTGATAGCCACTTGCTTGTGCGATGGGGTGAAGTTTAAATTCAACTTAGTATTGTTTGTTTGAACACATCGATGGGAAGATTCAAACAAACAATACTAAGTTGAACTAATAACCAGAATTATAATAAGATGATTAGAATGAATAAAATGTTTTGGATACAATAATTAAAGGTCATAGAGATGTAAAATAAATAAGACGATCTGATGAGTATTCATGAATAAAATAATGAGAACATAAAATATAAGTAAAGGGGAAATGGAGTAATAATAATAATAAAAGAATGATAATAATAATATTAAGGCCATGGTAACGATAATGATAAGACGTACTTCTTTTGTACGCATAGTTCTGGTTTGAGCTCATGGATGGTAAGAGCTTCGGCTATTTTTATAGTTTGATCAGAAGAAATCTGGGTAGATTTGAATGAACCATATAAACAACCTTAAAATCAGACTGTGGATCCGTAGAATGATTACAGTCGATTAGGTATTCAAGTATAGAGCTCTTAACTACTTTTTTTCACCTTTGTAGAACCAAACTGGGATATGTTCTCGTATCCGAGTTGAAAGCGAGCGCTGGCTACGGCCGATGTACCTTGCTCCACAAGAGCAGGTGAACTGGTAGATGCACATAGAGGTGACCAGACGCGGAAGCTTATCTTTGATAAATACAGAAAATAAGTTCTTGCTCGTGAAGGTGATTCATAGTTTAGCAGCATTAAATGTCCTTTTTATCGTTGTTGTTAAACGATTTTTAATAACGGCTGATGTTCGATCACCTTTAAATTCCAGACTTATATAGAGGTTTTTCTTCGGCACTGAATAACTAGGTTTCCTTTTACGCTACTCCTATTCACATTCTTAACAATGAACCAGCCTAGGTAGTCGTTTTTCATAAAAGTTATCCTAAAAACGCGAGTTCATCGATAATGCATTCCGTACTACATAAACGACGTATACGATAACATAAAGTGTAAAGTTATTGTTCATTCTACTCATGTTTGTCTCTATTTCTCGGCGTAATGTGTTCGACAAATTAAGTTCTAACCAAAAACTAACTACAAACACATAGTCAATCACACACACACACACAACAACAACAAAGTAAACACTCTTACAGTCATTACGGAAACAAACACGTCGTAAGAAAAAAACACAATCTATCATCAATACCACATCACATGATCACTTCAATTCATCCCATTCGCCATACAACTGTACAATCCCACATTGAAACAGCATCATTGCCATCTCACCCACTATGGAATCATCCTTCTCTGTTGTTCCCAATGCGACGACAGACAACGCTAGTGCGTCTCTGCACTTTCAGCAACAAAAATAACTGCACAAATACACTCGACAGAATAAGCTCTTTCTAAAACTAACAACAAACACCTAGTCATTCACACACACACACAACAACAACAACAATAAAGTAAACACTCTTACATTTATTACGGAAACAAACACTTCGTAAGAAAAAAACACAATCTATCATCAATACCACATCACATGATCACTTCAATTCATCCCATTCGCCATACAACTGTACAATCCCACATTGAAACAGCATCATTGCCATCTCACCCATTATGGAATCATCCTTCTCTGTTGTTCCCAATGCGACGACAGACAACGCTAGTGCGTCTCTGCGCTTTCAGGAACAAAAATAACTGCACAAATACACTCGACAGAATAAGCTCTTTCTAAAACTAACAACAAACACCTAGTCATTCACACACACACACAACAACAACAACAACAAAGTAAACACTCTTACAGTCATTACGGAAACAAACACGTCGTAAGATAAAAACACAATCTATCATCAATACCACATCACATGATCACTTCAATTCATCCCATTCGCCATACAACTGTACAATCCCACATTGAAACAGCATCATTGCCATCTCACCCATTATGGAATCATCCTTCTCTGTTGTTCCCAATGCGACGACAGACAACGCTAGTGCGTCTCTGCGCTTTCAGGAACAAAAATAACTGCACAAATACACTCGACAGAATAAGCTCTTTCAAAAACTAACAACAAACACCTAGTCATTCACACACACACACACAACAACAACAACAACAAAGTAAACACTCTTACAGTCATTACGGAAACAAACACGTCGTAAGATAAAAACACAATCTATCATCAATACCACATCACATGATCACTTCAATTCATCCCATTCGCCATACAACTGTACAATCCCACATTGAAACAGCATCATTGCCATCTCACCCATTATGGAATCATCCTTCTCTGTTGTTCCCAATGCGACGACAGACAACGCTAGTGCGTCTCTGCGCTTTCAGGAACAAAAATAACTGCACAAATACACTCGACAGAATAAGCTCTTTCTAAAACTAACAACAAACACCTAGTCATTCACACACACACACAACAACAACAACAAAGTAAACACTCTTACAGTCATTACGGAAACAAACACGTCGTAAGATAAAAACACAATCTATCATCAATACCACATCACATGATCACTTCAATTCATCCCATTCGCCATACAACTGTACAATCCCACATTGAAACAGCATCATTGCCATCTCACCCATTATGGAATCATCCTTCTCTGTTGTTCCCAATGCGACGACAGACAACGCTAGTGCGTCTCTGCGCTTTCAGGAACAAAAATAACTGCACAAATACACTCGACAGAATAAGCTCTTTCTAAAACTAACAACAAACACCTAGTCATTCACACACACACACAACAACAACAACAACAAAGTAAACACTCTTACAGTCATTACGGAAACAAACACGTCGTAAGATAAAAACACAATCTATCATCAATACCACATCACATGATCACTTCAATTCATCCCATTCGCCATACAACTGTACAATCCCACATTGAAACAGCATCATTGCCATCTCACCCATTATGGAATCATCCTTCTCTGTTGTTCCCAATGCGACGACAGACAACGCTAGTGCGTCTCTGCGCTTTCAGGAACAAAAATAACTGCACAAATACACTCGACAGAATAAGCTCTTTCAAAAACTAACAACAAACACCTAGTCATTCACACACACACAACAACAACAACAACAAAGTAAACACTCTTACAGTCATTACGGAAACAAACACGTCGTAAGATAAAAACACAATCTATCATCAATACCACATCACATGATCACTTCAATTCATCCCATTCGCCATACAACTGTACAATCCCACATTGAAACAGCATCATTGCCATCTCACCCATTATGGAATCATCCTTCTCTGTTGTTCCCAATGCGACGACAGACAACGCTAGTGCGTCTCTGCGCTTTCAGGAACAAAAATAACTGCACAAATACACTTCACAGAATAAGCTCTTTCAAAAACTAACAACAAACACCTAGTCATTCACACACACACACACAACAACAAAAACAACAACAAAGTAAACACTCTTACAGTCATTACGGAAACAAACACGTCGTAAGATAAAAACACAATCTATCATCAATACCACATCACATGATCACTTCAATTCATCCCATTCGCCATACAACTGTACAATCCCACATTGAAACAGCATCATTGCCATCTCACCCATTATGGAATCATCCTTCTCTGTTGTTCCCAATGCGACGACAGACAACGCTAGTGCGTCTCTGCGCTTTCAGGAACAAAAATAACTGCACAAATACACTCGACAGAATAAGCTCTTTCAAAAACTAACAACAAACACCTAGTCATTCACACACACACAACAACAACAACAACAAAGTAAACACTCTTACAGTCATTACGGAAACAAACACGTCGTAAGATAAAAACACAATCTATCATCAATACCACATCACATGATCACTTCAATTCATCCCATTCGCCATACAACTGTACAATCCCACATTGAAACAGCATCATTGCCATCTCACCCATTATGGAATCATCCTTCTCTGTTGTTCCCAATGCGACGACAGACAACGCTAGTGCGTCTCTGCGCTTTCAGGAACAAAAATAACTGCACAAATACACTCGACAGAATAAGCTCTTTCTAAAAACTAACAACAAACACCTAGTCATTCACACACACACACAACAACAACAACAACAAAGTAAACACTCTTA